TAGTACTCTTACAGTGATCGCATGAGTACTAATACTTCTAGCGACAAACACACCAGTCAGAAACCTATCTAAAAGCAACGCCCTGAATCACATGGAGCTAATCCATGGGTAGGCGCCTCAGGGCAACGCTCAGGGATGATCTCAGCCACCGCCTTTGTCAACGGTTTAGCCGAAGGGCTTTACAGTTAAATGCAACTTGTAGCTTTTGGCACAGCGTCGGGCGCACATTCTAACTCGTAAGGAATGATAAGCCTAGGTGATTTAGGGCTAGCGCTATCTAGGGTTATTGCATCGTTCACCGCTGGGTCCGTAAAGGTTTTAGGAGAAATCGACAAAATTCACCCTCTAACTGCAACGAGGTGGACATTTCCAAGTAGACTACCGGGGAGGGATTCAGCCCTGCGCCTGAAACCTTCAAACCCTGAGCCAAAAGTTCTGCGGTCCCTGAATCATGCTTAGCTTGAACTCCGAAGTCTCTACTCCAAGCCCCAAGACCCAAAGCTCAAACCAAAGGCCCTGGGCGGTGGCGCGGCCGTGAACTTGCTAGCAGCGACCTTGGAATTCGGGTTTGGTGGCTACGGCGCTTCAGGACAGAGGCTTGAGCTTCAGAATGTTAGCAAAGCGTATACCAGCACCCTACTCCGATTGTTGAGACCCTGGGGCCTCCCCGAGATCAGCAAGACGAAGCAGGCAGTGAGCACGAGGGTTTCTTTGAATTAGGCTTCCTGATTTTAGGCTGCTTAGGAGCGAGCAGGATAGAAGCCAGAAGACTTACTAATAGTATCGGCGTCAATTCCTGCGACAATTCTCATATCTACTGCCTTAGTTTGCCAAAGCCGTGGTCGGGCTGAAAAAGGAAGGCTGTCAAGCCTTGTCAAGACCAGTCACTGTCTGCAATATCCGAAGAAGCAGAAGCGAGTCTTGAAGGACATTGAAGCTCTTCTTCCTCCTCCTTTCCTCGTCCTCCTCCACTCCCACAACAGCAGCTGCTCAGTATTATTCACTTCTATTAAAACTACTACTACTACTACTACTACTACGACGACTACTACTACTACTACCACTACTACTCCTCCTCCTGCTGCTACTGCTACTACTACTACGACGACGACGACGACGACTACTACTACTACTACGACGACGACGACTACTACTACGACTACGGCGACGACGACGACCACTACTACTGCTACAACTACTACTGCTGCTACGAATACTACTACTGCTGCCGCTACTACTACTTCTACTACTACTACTACTACTACTACTACGACTACTATGGAGGCACGCTATGTTGAAGCCGGAAGCATGAACATGTTCTGGACCCAAAATCGCGCCCTCGAAACCACCAGCTTTGCACGCGTGCCGATACGTACTTGGTGGGACCCGGTGGGTCCGAGCTCCTCTCTACGGTGGGAC